AATTGAAATTTGAATCTTTTTTAAAGGTATAATCTTCGAAATATGAGCCAAAAAATGACTTTTTCGAGGTTTTTAGCCAGTATGAGACTTTTTCGCAAGTTTTTTTCTCAATTTTGAATTCATTTTCTGAATCAAAATGAAAAACTACATCTAACCATGTCTAAATCACATTGGATGGAGACAGAATTATTAAGAAGTAAAGCTGCCAATGTGCAAGAAAACAGTGATTAACTGATAAACTGCTAGTTTAGAGTTCCTATGAATCTGGATTCAAGCTTTAAAGATCACTATTTTGTATATTTCTAAAGGATCATCAATTTTCATATATATAAACATATTTTTAAGTATTTCAGACTTGCTTTTATTATCGATTAGGAGTCAAAACTCGATTTCAGCGAAAATTCTATTCTGGCAGTAAAATTCGATTTATTCGACCAAATTTGAGTTTTTCAAAATGTGAAAGTGATATTCGTGATCAGCATGAAATTCTACATCAAATGATGTGCTCTTTCAAATGAACTGAGACAAAAAGTTGCCGACCAATACCTGAGGGGGATGGGTCCAGGGTTCGAAAATCCGATTGGTCGTCTTTTTCAAAACTGAGTCCTAAAATATGTTCTCCATAGCCGACTTACTATGTATAAGTGGTTTTTATCAAAAAATGACCTTACCGCCACTTGTCCTTTTACTATTTCTAATTCATGATGTTGACTAACACTTTTCGATTGAGTATGAGGTCAAGATGATCATGTATCCACATCATTGAAATATGCCATATCCTCTATTAAATATTCACCACGTCATCTTAATTCCTAAATAAATATTTCAACTGACTTTTGAAAAATAAAATAAACACTTTTTACTCTAACACTATTGCTCGTTCCATATCAATTGTTTTGATAACAAAAAAATTTAGAAAAAAAAAAGATTTTTGTACCAATGAACAATATTTTCAACAAGCATTTGTCGAACATGTTTTCTATGTTCACGTCGAGTTAATTTTAATCGATATTCACTATCAAATACAATTCCATCTCGACGACTAATCTAAATAATATTAACAATAAAAAAAAATCAATTATTATTTTTATTATTTTTACCAATCCAGCATGTTTTAAATGAGATCAAATACGTTCATTACTAAAATAACATTGTAAATAAGGATCAATCAATGAATTACACATATGTTGCTAATGAGCTGAATAAAACAAATTTTGTTTAAATTCTAATAAAATTTCATAGTACCTTGAATCTAGATGGCTCATTGTTGAAAAACAGAGTGTAATGTCAAGAGGTCGTTAATCGAACAATGCACACACTTCTTTTCAATAAAGACAGACTCTGGAAATGTTTTAAGTAAATATACACAGAAGCCATTGCTCTTTTTGTACTCAATTAATTGTTCAGCAAGCATCTATCAATAATATTGCTATGATTTTATTTTTAATTTTATTCAATTTATCATTTTGAAAATTTTTATTTATTTTTTAATGGTTTTTCATATGACAATCTGAATGTGACTCCATTTCCTTTAATAAAACCATAAAAATGCAAATATTATAGACATCCTTCTCTTGATTTTCTTATCTAATAGAGTTGAAACAGATCAACATTTCACAACTGCGTAAAATAAAATTTTCTATCAGAACTTAACGACTTCATTTATCGGACGATAACGTCGTCTCGTCTTACTAATTTTTCTCTCTCTCTCTCTCTCTCTCATTTTCTTGCCTATTCTGTCTATAGAATATTCTCTCTTAATGCCTGAGAAAATTTGATCGACAAACGACGATCTATATATATGATATAATCAGTCAGTTATATGGTATATCATCCTTCTTTCTTTTTTTAATTCCCCTTATAAAAATCATTGTATGTTCAAATAAACCTTTAAAAGATGAGCTGACTATTATTCATTAATATTTTCAAAAAATGGATAAGTTTTTACAACAATTTATGTTAGACATTATCACGGTAAGACTGTTTCTCAAAAAAATGTAAAAAACAATTGTTTTTAATTTAGATTGCTGAATTACAACAAATGGAGAAAAAATTGAAAGAAAAACTATCGAAAATTTAAAAGGAAGATAAAGTGTACGAAGTAAACGTTGATCAATGTGAAATTATTAATAAGATATTGAACTATATGGAGAAATATATGAACATTGGTTCAGCAGTTCCATTATCAACTTTTCCATTAACAACAATGAATACAACTACTGAATTTCAACCAGAAATATTTCCACTATATTCATCAGAAGAAGAAATAGAATCATCTATATCTGAGGATGAAACAACCAGTACCGACGTAAATTTGAATTAATTTATTTTAGTCCATAAATTTGAGTTTTTCTTTTAGTCACAACAATCGTATATAGTTGAATATTTTCCATCTAAGAAAACAGTTGATAAAATTGGAAAAATCATACATCATACAGTAAATTTTAATTAAGTTTTTAGTTATCATCGACACCTGGTTTATCTGAAGATAATAAGAAAATGTTCATAATCATTGAAGTAAATTTTAATTAATTTATTTTAATTTAAAAATTTTAATTTTTTTAGCCATTATCATTAGTCAAATCGTCCGACAAATCTATTGGTATTCTCAACAATGAACATCATACTCAATCAAATCAAGAATCAACAACAAAATCATCTGCTCAAATTAAATGTTACCCGCTTCCAATGAACAGACCCGTGGCAAACTACTACCCACGGAAAAAATTTTCCAATAAAACCGCGGTGAACAGTGGTGTGAATAAACCGCGAAAGTCAGACCATTTATTCACTTTTGAGAAGCCGGTCGAAACCGCGGTGTGATCGGACATAACCACGGTTAAAGTGAGAGAAAATTAACTCACACCGCGGTTTTCTATATGCTCATCGCGGTATTCTTGCACCACGGTTTTTTTCGACAAATACCGCGGTTAACCGCGGTTTTATTCAAAAATGTTTTTCATGGGTACACAGAGAGTCGAAGTAAAATCTGGATCGCCATTCGACCTCTTACGCAGAAAGAACTTGGTCAAGGTTCGTCTATTCCTATTCTCTTCCTTTTTGCTACACTTGTATTCTATGCTTTTCTTATGGCGAGCACTATCGCTATCGTAAGTTCTTTTCGGGATGCAAAGGCGCTTACAAAAAAAGATCGAAAATTAAAATCCTTCTTTAACATTAAATATATAATTCTAGTTGTTTCTTTTTTAAGTCCAAGTGAAAATCAACTTCGTTGAAGAGATAAAGTCGAATAACTGAAAAGTGGATTTGGATAAACATCTTCTCAAGCAAACTATTAAATTTCTTTTTTTTCAAATTTATCAGTCAATTTTTCTCTCTTTTGATTAAAACAATTTCATCTTGTATTTATTCTTCATATGGAAACACTAAATTTCTTCATCGATTTCTTTATCATAAATATGATTAATTTTGTTTAATTTTTCTTATTTAATTTTTTTTCAAATCATTTATCAATCATTAATTGAAATAGATCTTCTCTTCTTAAATTCAACATAGTCTTAATACGTTTATCTTATTCATGATAGTTGTCATTATTATCATATCTCAATATAAAACAAAACTAACGATTTTCTATAAATATCTTACAAAATTAATGGATATTACTGCCTTTATGCTCTTTTTCTTTGTTCTAATATAATACAAATGAAAAAAATTTTTTTTTTCGAGTATTTTCTTTTATTGACATATTGATAATAATGGAAACTATACATGGAAATTTTTTGGACGAACAAATGATTGACCCACATGAAGAGCTTTCAATTTATCAAAATTAAAATGCATTGGATCATTAGTAAAGTTCTTTCTTATTTTTTTGAGTGATTTTTGTCCGATGCAGAGATGTGACAAACGAGGTAGATGGGTATTTTCTTTCAAGAGGAATAATAAGGCATAGTTTTTATGTGTATGGTATAGATCAAGAAATGTGAGATATGGGAACGTAATTAATGTAGATAAGTGTGGCTTGCCTTTCACTGTACGACCATTTGTTATATATAAATATTTGAGAAAAGGAAAATCTTGGGAAATGCGTTGAAATAATTTATGTTCGAAAGGAATTGCATCCTTCATCTTCAATTGTCGAACTTTCCGAAACATGCCACCTTGAAAAGAATTGTCGACATTATAAAAATATTCAAAATCATATGGAAGTGAATAGAAATGACATTCGCCATCGCAGTCAAATGAATTAGTGTTAACATATGAAAATACTTGCTGATAACCTCTTTCGAGGAAACTATGTTGAATATCTTCATTTGATGGAAGTACATTGCTAACGTTTGTGTTTTGAACTTTTGTCTTGATATCAAATGTAAATTTTTTGAATTGTGTCATATAAACAAGAAATTGATCATATAATTGATTACCATCAATATAAGTCGAGTTGTATCTTACAACTCGCAGACATAATTGTAGCTCTTTAAGGTTTATCATTCCACAAAGTAATGGAACAACAAAAGTATCATAACGAAATGTAGGACTGAGAAGACTTCCATTAAGAGAAAAACATTTCAATGTCGAAAGTTGTTTCTATAAAGAAAAGAGAAAATTTAGAATAGTTATTAATTAGGTTTTTTTAAGAAATAGTATAGCGTTATAAATATGAAGAAAAAAAAATCGGCAAAAGAATTTTTGCATTTATCATTAGGCATAGTTGCAGTATTCTGTGTCTCATTCAATAAGAAGGCCAACGGATGGCCGCGCCACTTGTCAAAAACGTTTTATCTTCACACATTCCTGGTAGATATATTGTTAATGCTAAAAGAATTGACTTTGATCGTCGAAGACGCTAATGTTCTAATTCCAATATTTATCATTTATAGTTTATACTATAGTATATTTTCAAGTATTTGGTGTTTATTACATTGAGATCTGTTGAGGAATCAGACTAATTATGAAATCAAACGTTCAGCACCATTATTTTCTTCTTTTTCAGCTTTTCGATCTGTATGAACTTTCAAATTGTACTTATCATTGCTTCCAACTTCGATAAGATTAAAAAAACTATGGAATGATAATTATATGAGAATGATTAATCGATTAAATATGACTTTATTAAAATAATAAAAGTATAAAATGTATAGAAGAATAATATTTGATTTTGATATTATTACTTCAGAAAGAAAAAACGTACTTTTCCTATTTGTTGTTACTTATTCATTTAATTAATCTGCGTAGTTTGACATATAATTATGTCTGCATGAAGTACTTATATCTTTTCAATATTATTTTACAATACTTTTAATAACTCTTTATTTCATACGATTTGAATAACTATATAATATCATGAAATATAAGTTATTAGTATTAGTTTTTGATCATTATTTGAATTTTTTCTTTTTTTGTTGAAGTATATACGAATATTATTTTGATCAATTTTGAAATAACTATAGTGATTTTTTGAATTCAAATGATGGCAAAGAGATAATATGTTC